GCTAATGCACTCTACAGCTATTTTCAATTCTACTCTTTCGTCCTTCCATTGTGTTGCCTAACTCCTTAATTTTAGTGTTAATCTTCTGGATTTTAATTGTTGTTTTGTGTGATTTCTAATTGTCCATTCATTTTGTCATTTTGCTCTTGTACTGTTTTCCTTAATTGTTCAAGGCTGTTGTCTGTCTTTTCCTTGCTTTTATTTATGGTTTCCTTGAGTTCTTGGAAGGTCTAGTATATATCTTTTGAATTCCTCATCAGATAGTTCTATTATCCGTTCTTCCTCAGTAAGATTTCTTTTGATCACTCACTTCTGTCTTATCCTGTTCCTTTGTTTGATTCGAGGTTGTCTGTTGTCTCTGAGACATTTTGAAGTTGTTTTTTTGTTAGTTATGTATTGGTTTGTTTCACCCTGTTTTCTTGTTTTGCTTTGATTGACTATGTCCAGATGGGTCAGGAAGGTGTATTTCTTTTGTTGTTAGCTTGGCAACACTAAAGCGTTCTCACTTGTCTCTGGTTTGGTGGAATAACTAGTAGGAATGTGGGTATGAGTCTCTGTTTTTCATGAAGAGGAGCTGCAGTTTGTTGGAGCAGGTGGTGTCTACTGTTTGTTATTGATCCATTGGTGAAGGATCTGGTGGTAGTGTTCTTCCATTGGGTCATGTGGTCAGTGCAGTAGATATGGCTGACTTGAACTCCTCCCTATTTGTCTATATTGTATCTTTATTGCCATGTGGATTTCTTGAAGTTGTTTTCTCCTTGTCTGTATCTGGTACTGCTGTGCTTACAAGGGTGATGCTTCAACAAGGCCTGAATTCTTTCCTCTCCCCCGTCACTGACATCACTCCATCTCCTTGTCTGTTCAGCACTCAGTCTAATTCTTTATCTTCTCATTCCATGCTCAGAATTCTAGGATCATTATTTATATCTGTTTCACTTGGTTTTTCCAGGTCTCTGTTGTAAAGGGATTGGGTGGAATATGTTAGCAGAATGCTATCTTGTCTCCAATTCAACCAGAATGCTTCTTAAAAGCAAGGATAGCGAGACTTCTTCTCATGTACTCTGGACATGTTATTAGGAGGGACCAGTCCCTAGAAAAGGACATCATTCTTGGTAAAGTAAAGAATCAGTGAAAAAGAGGAAAACCTTCAGTGAGATGGATTGACTCAGTGACTGCAGTATTGGGCTCAGACATACCAGTGATTGTGAGAATGGCACAGGACTATGGCGCAGGACAAGGATCTCTGGTACCACAGTGCCTAAGGCATCTGACTGCTAACCAGAAGGTTGGTAGTTCAAATCCACCACCCACTCTGTGGAAGGAATACTGGGCAATCTACCTCTGTAAAAGATTTACTACCTTAGAAACCCATTAGGGGTCACTATGAGTCAAAATCGACTTGATAGCAGTGGGTTTGGGTTTGGTTTTGGTTAGGGTATGGAGCAGGACCAAGCAGTATTTCATTCTGTTGTACATAAGGTATCTGTGAGTCAGAACCAACTCAATGGCATCTGACAGTAACAGTACATACTCACGCACAAGCATACATACACCTGTTATAACCACATAAATAATCCCACTTGTGCTGCTTCTCATTTTCTTCCTATGTATCCAGACTTCATTTTTCTGAAGTAATAATGGATATATTAATGTGATATGTTGCTGTCTAAACTGCTTCCATGTAACAAGATAAATTTGTTTGACCATGTCTGTAAAAGTACACTATGCATTCACCAAATTAGTGGTTCTCGATTCTGGCTGTATATCAGATAGAGTGGTGGTGTTTTGTTTTGTTTTAATATGGAGTTCTGGTGGTGCCTAAGGTTCAAACCTACCAGCCACTCCTTGGAAGGAAGATTGGGCAATCTACTTGTGTAGTGATTCTGCCTCAAAAACACAGAGAGGGGTCGCAATGAGTCGGATCCAACTTGAGGGCAGTCAGTTTGGTGTTTTTGTTGTGGTTGTCCAGGCCCTACCCTCAGACTTTTGATCCAGGCCTAGAATGGGACCTGGGAGGCATTTGTATTTTGTTCAGACTATATAATTGAATAGTCAGACTTCTCTGATGAACAAACTAAGAGTTTCTCATTTGATTCACTATCACTTTAAAAGGAACACTGGGAAAAAAAAACAGCCATCGAGTTGGATCCAACTCATAGCAACCCCACCTTGGGTTTCCAAGGTGGTATTGCTATAGAAGTAGATTGCCCAACCTTCCTTCTGAGGAGTGACTGGTAGTTTTGAACCGCCAGCCTTCTGGTTAGCAGTCAAATGCCTTAGGCACTGTGCCACTAGAGCCCCCAATAGAAGCACTAGATGGAGCTATTTAATAACCTCCAAAGACGTTTTAAAATTTACCCTAAGTATATATCCAGTTGTAAATTTGGAATGAATTGCATATCTGTACTTTAATAATTTTCATGTATACATAAGTTTATGAGAATTATAAAGGAAAATACAATAGCAGACAAATCTTAACAGGAACCATAAAGGGGTGCATATTGAATCTTTCAACATGACACTATATCAGACGATGTTTCCGCTATTTATAAGGTTTTCAATGGCCAATTTTTTCAGAAGTGGACCTGGCCACGTCCCTCTTCCTAGTCTTTCGCAGTCCGGAAGCTCCACTGAAATCTGTCCACCCTGGGTGACCCTGCTGATATTTGAAATACTGATGGCATAGCTTCCAGCAACACACAAGCCACCATGGTACAATAGGCTGACAGACGAGTGGTGAATCTGGCATATAGTAAGCATTTAACGTTAGCAAGCATGAAAATTGAAACAAAGGTTTAGATACTAAAACACTCTGTTCTGAAAGTTATGGACTTGCACTACTTTAGGATTTATACAAAAATAAGTTATATTTTATATAACTACATGTTTTCATTTTCTAGGATCAAATTTAAATCGCTGTGGATTCCGAGGCTCTTCATACCTGGGTATTCCATTCAATCCATCAAAGGTTAGTTCTCTTTGGGTAAGGAAGAAGTAGAAGGGAGATGGAGAGATTTTAATGAGAATGAAAACTAAGAAATTGTATAGGAAGAAGCAGGCTTCTCAGTTTCAGTATAACTAAATAATGTCTGATGTATGTTTTAAATTGAAACCCAAAACCCTGTAAGGGAAAACAGTACTCACATTACTTCCTGGAAGAATGCATGATACAGATAGGCAGAAATGTCCCTTAGTCACTGGGACAAAAAAAAATGTGGCTGTTGTGAGTTTATGTGGCCTTTTGCCTTGGAACAACTGGAAAGAGTGTTTCCCCAAATCCTGAGGATTTACTTTTACCCTAGTTTTGTACCCCAGAAGGTTTGTTACATTACCCGGGTAAGTTGTAAACAACTTGGTTTGAAACTTTTCATCTGGCCCTGGACTGCAATCTGCCTTGTGATTAGTATATACCATGTAGGAATTAAGGAGTTCTGGTGGCATAGTGCCTAAGGCATCTGACTGCTAATCAAAGGTTGGAGGTTCAAACCCACCAGCCACTCTGCAGGAACAAGACTGAGCAATCTACTTCCATAAAGATTTCCTGCTGTGGAAACCCAATGGAGGTCACTATGAGTCAGAATTGACTTGACAGCAGTGGATTTGGTTGGGTTTTTTAATGTAGAAATTGGTCAATATGCTATGCAAATGAAGTGACTGTAACCTACTACGTAGATGAAGTGTCTTGCCTTCTGAGAGGGCATTGGTCCATTTGTGGCCCTTACTGGGAGAGGCCATGCCTTGAAATAGACAAGGAGATGTGTATATATACAGCCAACCTCAGCAGAAGTTGTTCAGGCAGAAAGAAAGGAAAAGAAGCAGAGAGGGAGAAGAGGCAAGGAACCTTCTAAAAGAACTAACACATCAAGGGGTATAACACTGAAGACAGCTAGAGGCCTGGACAGGGCCCAGTGACAGACCCAGAAGAAGCCCTGTGGCAGAATCAGTGGTGACAGAGCCTGTCCTTAAGGGTGTGAAAGGAGCTTGTCCTCAGGCAGCCGAGAGGAGCCTGACTCAGGGCTGAGAGGAGGCCTGCATAGCCCAGAGGAGCTGAGAGAACTGTCTTGCACTGAGGAAGGGAGATTTTGCCTGTATGCTTCCTAATCCTGTTCCTCAGTTGTAGCTTGTTCCTGATCCAGAGTTGTACCCTGTTACTTCTTTAATAAGCCATTTCACTATTAGTGTAGCCTGTGAGTTCTTTGTGGTCACTGCAACAGATTATCAAGCCCAAAAGAGAAGTAGAGAGTTCCATGTGAGCCTGGTGTCACAAATGGTGAAAAGGTTGGAGGGTGGAGGTATGCCATACCTCTACCTCATGGGAATCAGCATTGAACTCATCTTGATTTGCATTATTCCCCCTGAAGTTAGGTTCTGATGCTATTACTGCTACCGCCACTTTACCCATGTTGTACAAATTAGAGGAAAAGCTCTTGCAAGGCAGTGATTGAAGACCCTGATAGTGATGAATTTGACCTTTGTGGCAATGGGCAGCATTTCTGTAGGGTTTTAGGCAGAAGCGTTGGTACCAACACATGCCAAGGTAGAAAGCAGTGAGTCCTAAGAAAGTGAGAAGTCTTTTTCTTCTTGTTCAAGGATGCAAATCCAGATGTGTTGTCAACTTAATCTGCTTTTATTCCGAGATGCCTTAAACAATAGGAGCTTTTCCTTGATGGTGTCCATCAGCTTATATAACAGTTACAAGGTAGTATCTTACTACATGGGAGCTCTGGTAGTGTAGTGCCTAAGGCATGTGACTGCTAACCAGAAGGCTGGCAGTTCAAACCCACCAGCCACTCCTTGGAGGAAGTTTGGGCAATCTACTTCCATAATGATACCACCTTGGAAACCCAAGGAGGGGTCACTATGAGTCAGATCTGACTCAATGGCAGTGCGTTGTGTTGTGTTGTATCTTACTACACTAAATATGTCAAGATTTTTATCCAGTTGCAAGCTGAAGACAAATAGTCTTGCCATTTTTTCCTTAGTCAGCCTCAAATTTTGGGAATAAATATCAGTGATTTGGAGAAGATGAAATAAGTTTCTAGAGGCACTGCTTCATCTTTCTTCCTCTGCCCCAAACCACAGACACCTTGCCTGTGTCAAGGTCATGTGAGTTTACCAAGATGTCTCCAATTGTGTATGTTCATTGCTCTTAGTACGGATTGTAAAAAAAAAAAAAAAGGATTTGTATGATTTGTCTTTTTTTTCCCCCCCATATATGTAGTACTTTCCAACTTAAGTCAGGCCTGAATAAAGGTCATAATAGACAGGATATCTGTATGTCATGACATTGGTACAGTATCAGATCATATACAGATAATATACTTGTTGAAGTTCATTACATTGGTACAGTATCATCAGATCATATATAGATAATATACTTGTTGGAGTTTGTTACTTTTAAGAGATCCTATCTCCCACTCCTGCCACACATTTTCAAAATAACGAATAAAATCGAAGACAAAACTATATCTCTACCCTTCACAAATTCTCCCTAGAGTAGTCCCTTGGACCCTTACTATCTTCTAGGGAAGTTAGGTACCACTCCATGCTATGTTGCAGCTTATCTGAATTCCGAATGGTAGAAGGAACAAGATTTCAGGTAGAACCATACAGGCCCACAATGAATTGTTGCTGAGGGCAGTGACTGAGAATTTAGAAGACAGGTGGGACCAAGAGTATCTTAGGAGGCACAGAGGATTGTCCAATGCACTATATAAATAAAATAAATTAATTGCTTTTATATTCTGAAACCACCAAGTACCTGTGGATTATTAAATTACCTGACACAAGACCTTCAGTAGCCACAGAGCACATTTTGAGAAACACTGACAGATCCCCTAACCCACTTTTCTCAGTTTTCCTTCACAAATCCCATCTTCTCTATTGAATTATATATTGTCCTTAATACATATGCCTTTTGTTTGTTTTATTTTTCTTCTACCTATAATGCTTCCTCCCCATCTAAGCTCAGCTGATGAAAAGAATCCCTTATTTAAATCCACGTGTTACTATTTCTCCCTCTTGGCATTTGTTGTATTCTTATTTGAGTTGAGCTCTTTTCTGCCCTTAAAATTAAAGTCCACATTTGATTCATGTTTGGATCTCCCATAGTGCTTTTAACACAGCAGAAGTTTAGTTTTAGAAGTACCAAAAAATGAAATATGCTATTGGAGTTCTAAGAAGGTAATTGTAAATGTAAAATAGAATAACCAGCAGAATTAGAGCTTCAGTTCTAAGGAGGAACTCAGAATGAAAGTAGTATCAACATTATAATTTGTCATATTTGTAGGACCATCTAAAGAATGGTGTATGTAAGGATGGATGAATTGGGTGATTTTGTGTTATATAGATAGTGTTGCACACCATGCAAATTATTCTGTGTGGAACCACAGAAAGTCAATGAGCAAAAAAATGTGCATGAGTTGATATGTAGTTCCACGATCCTTGGGTCATGATTCCAAAGAAGTAGTGGCCCTTTTGATATTTGCCTTGCTTTTATACATTGTGATAACTAACATCTTTATAGATAGTAACTTTATTTAATCCTCACAATAATCCTATGAAATAGGTACTAGTGTTTCTTTCCAAATGAGGAAAATGAAGTAAGCCAAGATACTTTTAGAGCCAGGATTTGATGTCTTTCTCTGGTTGTAGGTAGGAGTTAACATTTATTATATAAGGTATAATAGCCAGTACCTTGGTATAAATTTAATTTCAAGTGCATTATAAGCAGTTAAAGACAGTCGTTGATGAACCCAAACTAAATAGGGAAAACCTATAAGAAAGATCAATTTTAAATATGCTTTTATATCCTATCAAAAGTAAAACTTTTTAAACTGAAAAATAAATTAGTACAATGTGAAATTTGACATTTTTCAACTGAAAACAGCTTTTTAAAATAACCAGTTAACTGGATCAGTTATTTGCAATTACTTATAAAATTTTCAATGCTTTGTATGTTGTGAAATTTGAAGTTACTTGACATTAAATTAAATCGTTTTATCTATTCCAGTGACAACACTCAGGGCTTTTACAGGATTTCCTGCAAGGTGTGTGTCACATGTTTTGTAGAGGTTAATGAAATCTTTGACAACTATCTGCAGTTATCTTTTATTGAAATAAATCAGTTGGACTAATCTGACCCATATTGTGATAATTTGGGCTTCCTAATCTAACTTCTCAGTTCTGGCTGGGCAATTACTAGTCTAATAGTCTTCCTTCTATAAAGGCATAAAATAGGCTTCATAAAACAGTTTTTGAAAGCAGTACCCATTTAGCTTCTAAATTTTAGAAACCATGATTTATTTCTAGAGAATGTCAGTTTTCATATTTTGCACTCTTTGAATTTATTTGTTTTTTATTTTTTTTACTAATCTACATGCTATGTTGATTAGAGACTCAAATAATTAAACTGTAAGAAGAATGATAAGGTTTTCTCACTGTATTGGTTTTTAATGTTTTTATATGGTAATTATGTGATATTTAATTTGCATTTGTACATTATAAAAGAATTTTTATTTCTTTTATAATCTTTTTTGTTTGAAAGACTACGTGCTTTCCTAACTTAAAAGACTTTAACTATAAGTGCTAGATAGGGTTGATTATATAAAGTTTAAATAGTTTGGTTTATTTGAATATACAGCTATTTCCATAAAGTTTGAGATTTCTAGGATAAAAATTGTGTAGCCTAGAATGCATATGGTTCTACTTAGTGGAGAGTTATATAAATGTAGGTTTGACTTTCTCAATCAGATATTTTTACAAATCAGTATAAACAACATTTAATTTTAATATTTATAGAAATCTCACATCAAATTACTTGATGGAATATTATAATTAATTGTATATTAATTTTGAATTTAGAATCCTGGAACAGCTCATCCTTATGATAGTGGCCACATAGCAATGACCTACACTGGCCTTTCATGCTTAGTTATTCTTGGAGACGACTTAAGCCGAGTAAATAAAGAAGCTTGCTTAGCAGGCTTGAGAGCCCTTCAGCTAGAAGATGGAAGGTATGGGTCATTCTTCATTTTTTTTTTTTTTTTAATGAAAACTCTTTTGGAACTTAAAAAATTGACATAATACTATACTGGAATTGATTCTAATATTATGAAACAAAATGTATGTTAATTGTTGAAAATTAATTTGCTCTGTAAACTTTCACCCAAACCACAATAAAAGTAAATAAATAAATACTGTACTAGAACTTTAAAGGATCATAAACTCTTACTAGAACTACCTAAAGTTCACTGTATATAGTTAAGTGACTGATAAAAAAAAAATCTAAGATTTATGGGAGTGAAAATAAAAGTGATCACAATGACAGAACTCCTTTATCTTTATTTCTTTTTTAACTGAGATGATAGATACATAAATAAATGATTGAATAGCTTCAGGATTAGAATCTATTTTAATTTACCCTCTGCGTGAAAAATTAGATATTTCGAAGTAAGCATACATTTAGTATGAACTTTTTACTCCGTAAGATGAAAGAGAGAAGAGATGAATATTATGATCTGTGTAGGTAGTTTCAGTGACATTTTCAAAGAATAGAAAAAGAAGTTAGGAAGTTCATTAACATTTAATGGTTCATATACTATGTCTAAGGAGCTTTGACAGTGTAGTGCCTGAGGCACTTGACTGCTAGCCAGAAGGCTGTCCAGTTCAAACCCACCAGCCACTCCTCAGAAGGAAGGTTGGGCAATCTACTTCCTTAGTGATATCGCCTCGGAAACCCAAGGAGAGGTCGCTATGAGTCAGGTTCAACTCAACAGCACATAACAACAGCAACAACATACTATGTCTAACTTAAAAAGAATTCTCCTGGAGTTTTAAGATGTCATAAAATGTTTAAGCTAGGAATTAATTGAGCAGTAATGATGCTGTCTAAGGAAAAGACTTCACAGACAATCCTGCTATATTTATATTTCTTACCTTTGTGATCCATCTAAAATATCTGTTACTTACTGTCAGTTTTTTTTTTAAATCACTGTTGTTGATGAGGTAAAAATTAATGTAGACTCATAAGATATATTGACATTAGTAATAAGTACTGTAAAACTAAAGATTTATCTCACCCGGTACATGTGACTTAACATTTCATTATTTCAGTATAGTTTGATTATTGCTACCATATCCTAGTTTATAAATAAAGGAATAAATACTAGAAAAGATATTACCTCTCTAATTAATAGGTAAAAATTAAAACACAATATGATCAATTTGTCCATGCATTTAGGAGAAATCTCACATAGCAAAATTTGGGCTTACAGTATCTCTCTCACTGCTGTCGAGTCAGTCCCAACTCATAGCAACCCCTCCATGGGTTTCCAAGGCAGTATCTCTACAGAAGTAGATTGCCCAGCCTTCCTTCCAAGGAGTGGTTGGCAGATTTGAACCGCCAGCTTTCTGGTTAGCAGTCAAATGCCTTAGGCACTGTGCCACCAGAGCTCCCATTACAATAGCTAGTACTACCCAGTAGCTACTTTTTTTTGCCATCGGTCCTCAAGCCAATATGCCACAGCTGCCCCTGGCTGGGAGCAAATAAAGCTGACTGTGAGTGGTGGCATCTGAGAAGGAGTAACTGGTAATATGTAACCAAAACCCAGACCCACTGCCATCAAGTCAATTCTGACTTATGGTGACACTATAGGACAGAATAAAATTGCCCCATAGGATTTCCAAGGCTGTAAATCTTTAGAGAAGCAGACTGCCTTATCTTTCTCCCGCTGAGTGGCCAGTGGGTTCAAACCAAAAACCTTTAGGTTAGCGGCAAATGTTTTAAACACTGCATCACTAGAGCTCCTAGATAGTGTGTAAAGCTACTCAGAAAATCAGTACTTTAGGGTGATGGTTTAGAAATACTTTTATGTTACTAAGTGGCGAATGTTTTAAACACTGCATCACTTAGAGCTCCTAGATAGTGTGTAAAGCTACTCAGAAAATCAGTACTTTAGCGTGATGGTTTAGAAATACTTTTATGTTACTAAATTTAATACTCCTGTTCACTGAATAATAAAATGAGAATATTGTTTTAAAACCAGTAGTAAATTTTCTCTGAGAATAAAGACACTCAGTAGGTATTTCTCACACCACCACTCCCTCCTCCCTGCAAAAAATTAAATAGTAGTAGTGTTAATAGCAAATCTTATTATTTTCAGTTTTTGTGCTGTACCTGAAGGAAGTGAAAATGACATGAGATTTGTGTACTGTGCTTCCTGTATTTGCTATATGCTCAACAATTGGTCAGGCATGGATATGAAAAAAGCCATTGACTATATTAGAAGAAGTATGGTGAGTTATGTTGAATAAATTAATTGTTTATTTTAGATTATGATTATTGTTGGTATATGAGGCAAGAGTATATACATGCCTCGTCTCTTCCACCAAGAATTTGTGAACAAGGAGAATAAGATTGCTTTCTACATAGAGTATCAGAACATCTATACAGAGCTAATCTTAAAGGACATATTCACTCATTAGCCATTATAACGTAAATGTAATTTGATTGTATGTGAAGAACAATTTTTTTTTTAATCAGAAAGGATTGTTCAGCCGCAGTGGCAAAAAATAAAAAGGTAAATTCAAAGGCAAATGTTGATAGGAGGGATCTGTGGGAGCCTGACCAGTCTGACTGGAAAATAAATCATGGTGTTCTTGATGAGGCTATTCCTAAAATAGGTGTGAGTTCCTTAAGCCATTTTGATTGAGAAGATCTAAAGGTAACAAGATTGAATTGCTAACAATAGACTTTTGGATCATTATTGTTAATATTTTTATCTAAGGTTTATTTTAAGGAAAATACCAAGTAGAACATGTTATTTTTAAAAACACTAGAAATAAAGCTTAGTCTTACCCAGAATTTCTTGTTGCTCTACTTTTTAATCTTTTATATAAAGCTGGAGAAATAGAAGTGCTACTTTGTATGTTTATTAGTTCCCATATATAAAGATGTTACTTTTATACATTAGAATAATTTGGGCTGTTGGTTCAACTTTTGCTAGTTAATTTAACTTTTACAGTAACAGACTAATACAATATTTGTCCTTCGTGACTGACTTATTTTACTGAGCATAATGTCCACCAAGTTCATCCACATTATACAGTGTTTTGCAGATTCTAGGTTATTCTTTGGGTTGCATAATACTCCATTGTGTGTATGTCCCATAGTTTGGTTATCCATTCCACAGCTGATGGACACCTAGGTTGTTTCCATCTTTTGGCTATTATAAATAGTGCTGCGATGAACGTGGGTGTGCATATATCTGTTCTTGTCGTGGCTCTCACTTCTTTAGAGTATATACCTAGTAATGGATTGGCTGGGTCAAATGGTATTTCTAATTCCAACTTTTGAAGGAATCGTGAAGGAGGCAGATTTTCATATCCTAATGTGTTTCTATTCTGTTTATTTTGTGTTCACTTAATTTGTTTGTATTAATTTAGTCTCTTTTTTATTCATTTCATAGATTTTTTTTTCTAGTACATATTCCCAGTTTAAGGGTGCCTTCCTGTCAGTGCTGCAAAGTACAATTTTGTCAGTGGCTGACTTTTTTTAGTGGTAGGTAAACGATTGTGTATTCTTATGATTTTATGGGAAAAAGGAAATTCTCTTTTGTCTTCCAAGGCCCTAGCTTTTGTTCTTTTTTTTTTTTTTTTTCTTCTTTATTACCTGATTTCCAAAGGGCCCTTCTTTCTTCCTTTTTACCTTGTTCTTCTCTAGAAGTTATGCCTTTGAACACTGTCACTTTGAGTTACACACTTTTAAGTCCCTTCCCTGTAGTTAGTGCTCTGTTCTACCTGGGCTGTTGAATACAGGCAGTCCTCGCTTTGTATGCTAGTGATACTGACCTTGCAAGCTGAAACCATGCAAAATGATCAGAATAATCAGTGTGGAAAATTAGAACTGTCCATGATTTTTAAAATTTTTTGCCAAAGCACTGAAACTCTTACCGTCGGTTATAAATGTATATATCTAGGGAAATGGAAAACAACTGGTAAAACAGGTATTTATTTAGCTATAACTTAAAACTTAGAAACACTAAAGGTTAAAGTGTTTTATTTCTTTGAAAAAAACTGAACCAAGTGCTTGCCCTTTTCTCATACATTATTTATGATGTGGAATGAGCATAATTTCTGTGCCTTGGCACATTGTCGTACCTCTTTCTAAGTTTATGTCTGCTTCTAACATTTTATCCTTTGCACGTTTAATGTCATGAACTATCTCCAAGAGTTCCATAATGTGAAATTTTTGCTGTATCACTTCCTCTGGAATATCTTCATCTTTTTCTTCACAGCCACTTTTCTCATTTATGTAGATACGTTTGCCTTCACTTAGTTTTTCTGGCTGCATATCTAGAGTCTCTTGAACAGTGGCACAGTCAGTATTCCAGCGGTCAACTGTTTCTTCCATAACTCCATTTATGTTTTATTTTAATTTCACTTTCAGCATTTTTTCTCTTTTCATTTCTTTGCTGCACTTTGATCTTTGATGGACAAATTTTTCAGTTACGCATTTTGGTAAAATATCCCATGGGTTTATCACTGGGAAGAAAAGAAAACACAGCCACATACTTTGCTGTCTGTGCATGAAGTAAAGAGCAGATGAGCAATGACCAATTAATAACAGAATTTGAAGGAAGTGACATGATTGATCACTGATCATGGTGCGCATCTGTTATTTTTGTAATGATTTGTGACCTGAAGAGCTAGCAGCAAAGTATGCAATTATTCATAGTTAGACTGTGGTAGCTGAAATTTGAATGTGTTATATTGGGAACTCTGGTGGCGGAGTGCCTTAGCCATTTGACTGCTAACTAGAGTGCTGGTGGTTCCAACCCACCAGCCACTCCTCAGAAGGAAGATTGGGCCATCTACTTCCGTAGTGATACCACCTAGGAAACCCAAGGAAGAGTTGCTGAGTCAGCTCTGACTCGACAGCAATGAGTTTGGTTTTTGTTTTGGTTTGTATCACTTAACTAATCTGTGGAATTTGAGCATATCAAAATTGTGCAAAGCGAGAGCTATCTGTGTTTTCACAATTAAGGTAGACTTTCACATATAGGCAGTGATTTTTAGATCAGTCTTAGGCCTGACATTAGTGCTCCTCCTTTCTTTTCCTCAAGATTTTTCACAGACTATCCTGTTTTGATTTTGGGGAATATGTGAGGAGATTCAAATTTAGGCAACAATCATTATCCTTGGCTACTCAAAACTGCCTCAGAATTGACTTTTTCATGTTTATCGTATTTTATGAGTATAACATCCTGACATTTTTCTTCAACTCATATATACTTACACTTGGGAAAGGAGTAAGGGTTGGTACTTTTTATTGAGTCGAAATTGAGTAGGTACCATCCTTAAACTGTCTGCTAAATGTATCCTAATGTATGCCATTTAATGAATCGACTTAGTGAATATGACAAGATCAGGTACTTGAAATGTCTCAGTCCATTTCCTTGTTTGTAGGAAGGCATGCAATAGTTTGGAAGATATAAAAGAAAAGTGATGTATTACATAAACTGACTGACTGCTGTCGAGTCGGATCCAACTCATAGTGACTCCTCCTTGGGTTTCCAAGGCAGTATCACTACAGAAGTGATACTTCCGAGGAGTGACCAGTGGGTTTGAACCACCAGCCTTCTGGTTTAGCAGTCAAATAGCTTAGGCACTATGCCACCAGAGCTCATAATGACAACTTATTATTTATATATCATTATCATTTCCCTATTAAAATGAACATTTTTTTTTTCCAGTCTTATGACAATGGACTGGCACAGGGAGCTGGACTTGAATCTCATGGTAAGATATCTTAAAAATAAGTGAAAGTATAATTTATTTTGTTACTTTAAACAACATAATGCCACCTTCAGTAGAGAGGATCTCAGAAGTTTGTCTCCTCTCATGGTATAGCCTGTTTATCTTATATGCCACTTTTCCTGTTTCTCTCTTTTGATACTCTTATCCCTAGTTGAGGGCTCTTCTAGGTCAGTAATTATTTACATATTAATGAGGTCTGAAATTTTCGTATAATATATTCTAGTAAACTATCCAAGTGTTTGTTATATGAGAATGTCTTGTGATAATTTTTCAAAATATTGTTAGAAAACAACATATTTCTTCTTTGGCATAAAAGTGAAAAGGCTAGACCAAACAAATGCAGAATATTAAATGTGAATCAATAAATTTGAAGAAATGAACATTTTTTTATTTACCTTCCTGAATATAATTATCTTTAGTCGTGTTGTTGTTGTTGTTATGTCCTGTGGAGTCAGACCCAACTCTAGCGACCCCTCCTTGGGTTTCTGAGGCGGTATCTCTACAGAAGTAGATTGCCCAACCTTCCTTCCGAGGAGTGGCCAGTGGGTTTGAACCACCAGCCTTCTGGTTGGCAGTCAAGTACCTTAGGTACCATGCTATCAGAACTCCCCCCTCAGTCATAGTCATAAAAATTTTGCTGCATACCATATGTTCAGTACATACATTAACACAGTCTTCTTTCCCATTTTTCCCAACTGTGGCAAAACCAGAATAGTGAAATAATATATTTATCAGCACATCAGTACCCTTAACTCTCACAGATTGAATGTTTCCATTCAAAAGTAAATAAGCTTTTAAAGAAAAGAAAGAGCCCAGATCAAGGAGACTCTCTGAGTGAACTCTTCATCACAGCAGATTTCATATTCTCATCTGTGGTCTCCCTTCCTTTGCCTGTATGTTAGAGTGAAAAGAACAGAATACCAGCATTCAGGTCTGTTACATAAGTGAGCTGAAGATGTGTATTGACCCCAGATTGTTTATTTTCTTCATAGAAAACTGAGGCCTGTTACCCCAAAAGGCCATCAGCACCACACTCAAGTTTTTACACATCCAGTTGTTTTTAAAATAACCCATGAAAGCAAATTATTAGCCATTTAGAGCCTGACTGCTTTGCATACCTCACGAAACTACACCCAACATCTGATAGCCATAGATGAGGTAAACCCTGTAGTTACGAAGACCCCAAACTGTTGTTGCTCTTCAGAACTCTCTGACTCAAACATTCCTACCTTGCTGCTTTTGGGACATCATCTGGACATGTCGACCCCTCTCTCTACCAGGAGTCCTCTTGTTTTCTTCCCTTCTGTTAGCTCCCTGTGCCTCTTGCCAATGTGTCCTGCTGCTGGAGCTTGCCCCTGTATTCCATCTGTGTCAGCCCCAATGAAACAGTTACTGTGGAACACTGCCATCATGCGGTCATATTTTTTTCCTTGATCATCCCTGAACTCCCTCAAACCCACTACAAGGTCTCAGGCCTGACACTTAATAGTATGACTTTGGCTCATCACTTAATCTCTCTGAAAATTTCCACTTTGACAGAGTGGAAATAATTGTATGTTTTTTTTACATTTGTTACCAGTTTGTTGTTGTTGTTGTTATTTGCCATCAAGTTGGACCCGACTCATAGCAACCCCTCCTTGGGTTGCCGAGGCAGTATCACTACGAAAGTAGATTGCCCAACCTTCCTTCCGAGGAGTGGCTGGTAGGTTTGAACCGCCAGCCTTCTGCTTAGCAGTCAAATGCCTTAGGCACTATGCTACCAGTATTATCAGATAAATGGGAAAGAATGGTTTCTTAACAGTAAAATAGGTATAAGAAATATTTAACATAAATTCCTTGACCCCAAACCTTGTACATCCCTGGAGCCTTATCATATTATGTGTCTTCTCCCTCTCTCGCATTTTAACTTCCTCCTTCAACTTAGATATGGGTAGAGTATTTGTCATCAGGGGTATAGAGTAGGCGATACTGGATTTTTCTTGGAAGCCTACAGTAATTAGGCCACCATATTTCTTGTGTGTGTCTGAGTCTATATGAAATGGGCTGGCAATAATAATTATGTAGCTGCTCACTGCCACATGATAAAAAGGGGTATACTTGTTATACAAAGACAAAATCTGGCAGTTATAAGAATTCCTAAGAAGACAAAGATCTAGAAAAGAAGAAGGAGGACAAAAGTCTGGTAGTCATTGTGGATTGTTAGTGGGCACTCTCACTGGGGAAATACTTCACCAGCACCAGGGAACCTGTGGGATAGGTACTATAGCTTCCAAGAAGTTAGAATTGTGTTCTCTGGGATATGAAACAGGTGGTTGCTCAAGTATTATCTATTCTCTGATATGCCCTATTAGGAAAAAAAAGCTACCTCAGTCATGTAAGTAGTGAATTTTAGTCAATATGACTTGAATAGGATTGCACCTGTCAGGATCATTGGTGATGGACTAAGGGTCATGCTCCAAAAGCTTTTATCTTCTTGCTTTCTCCAAATTTGGCTCAGTGGATGTTAGACCTAAAACTCTAGTTGGGACTTCCCACCATGAGTGCTGCAGTATACTAATACACCTCAAGTAGGTTAAGGGTATTGCTTCCTTAGCCTTTGGTTCAACCAAGCAAACCTGGGTGGTTGGATCCTCCAGTAAGATTGTCTCTGTCCAGGAGCATCCTCCTCAGTTTGCACAGTATTCCCTACAAATACAATTATTATTTTCTTCATGTACTATAAGGTTAGACAGCCTGTGAAATACTGTCTTTGAGGACTTTGGTATAGCTTTCCATCCTTCTCTCATCACTATCTACACTTATAAGTGAAACCTCTTCCTAAAAAGTTGTTCTGCAGTTTAGCTTCCCTGTCAAGTCATTGTGTCCTTTTTCTTTCTTTTTATTGTTAATATTCTTTAAAAAGTAATCCAGATATATTACTTGGCCTTCTTCACAAACAGCTTGTTCTTTAATTATCTATATAAGCCTTCAAATTGTGAGGTATCTTTCTTAATGTTATGAACTATATTTCAAATCCAGTGTCTTTTTCTTATTCTTCCTCTTCCACTACTTAATGAGGCATTTGAAGTTGTTAACTATCCCGTTCTTTCTTAAACATTGCATTTTTGTTTGTTCCACTTCCTGACAAATTGTTTCTGACTCCCTCAGCATCTTTCTTTCTTCCTCTCACCTCTTCACCATAGACAGATCTTTGGAAAAAATTTCCCCTCAACTCAGCTATTTTTTCCCCCCTCAGTTCATCTTCCTAAATCTCAGGGATTTTGTATTTACTGTTTCTTCTGTCTGGAAGATTTCAAAGGGCAGCTCTAGAAGACAAAGTATTGTAATGAAATGTACAAAGACCTGGAGTTAGAAATCCAAAAGGGAAGAACGCCCTCAGCATTTCTCAAGCTGAAAAAACTGAAGAAAAAAATTGAAGCCTCAAACTGTAATACTGAAAGATTCTGTGGGCAAAATATTTAATGATGCAGGAAGCATCAAAAGAAGATGGAAGGAATACACAGTCACTGTACCAAAAAGAATTGGTCAGTGTTCAGCCATTTCAGGAAGTAGCTTATGATCAAGAACCAATGGCACTGAAGGAAGAAGTTGAAGCTGCACTGAAGGAGTTGGCCAAAAACAAGGATCCAGGAACTGATGGAATATCCATTGAGATGTTTCAACAAATGGATGCAGCGCTGGAGTCACATATTTGTTTATGCCAGGAAATTTGGAAAACAGCTGCCTGGCCATCCAACTGAAAGAGATCCATGTTTGTGCCCATTCCAAAGAAAGGTATTCTCACAGAATGTGGAAATTATCAAATAGTATCACATACAAGTAAAATATTGCTGAAGGTAATTCAAAAGTGGTTGCAATAGTATATTGACAAGGAAATTCAAGCTGAATTCACAAGAGGATATAGAATGAAGAATATCATTGCTGATGTCAGATAGATCTTGGCTGAAAGCAAAGAAAACCAGAAAGATGTTTACCTGTATTTTATTGACTGTGCAAAGGGAGTCAACTGTGTAGATCATCACAAATTATGGATAACATTACAAAGAATGGGAGTTCCAGAACACTTTAGTGTGCTCATGGAGAACCTGTAATAGATCAAAAGGTTGTTATTTGAACAGAGCAAGGGGATATTGCATGGTTTAAAATCAGCAAGGGTAAGCATCAATGTTGTTTCTTTTCACCATAATTATTCAGTCTGCATGCTGAGCAAATAGTCTGAAAAGCTGGACTGTATGAAGAACAGTGTGGCATCAGGATCAGAGAAAGACTTATTAACAACCTGCAGTATACTGATGATACAACTTCGCTTGCTGAAAGTAAAGATGACTTGAAACACTTACTGATGAAGATCAAAGAGTACATACAGTCTTCAGTATGGATTACACCTCAACATGAAAAAAACAAAAATCCTCACAACTGGAGGAGTAAGCAACATCATGATAAATGGGAAAAAAATGGAAGTTGTCAAAGATTTTATTTGGTTCTATTGTCAACATGGGAGCTCTGGTGAGCATTTGACTGCTAACCAGAAGGCTGGCAGTTCAAACCCACCAGTCACTCTTTGAAAGGAAGGTTGGGCAATCTACTTCCGTAGTGATGTTGTTGTTATTTGCCATCGAGTCGGCCCGACTCATAGCGACCCCTCCTTGGGTTTCCGAGGCAGTATCATTACGGAAGTAGGAATGCCCAACCTTCTTCCGAGGAGTGGCTGGTGGGTTTGAACCGTCAGCCTTCTGATTAGCAGTCAAGTGCCTTAGGCATTATGCTACCAGAGCTCCTATACTGCCTCGGAAACCCAAGGAGGGGTCACTTTGAGTCAGATCTGATTCGACAGCAGTGAGTACCGTACCATACTGTCAACATTCATGGAAGCAGCTGACAAGAAGTCAGACCTTACATTGCACTGGGCAGATCTGCTACAAAGGATTTCTTTAAAGTGTTGAAGAGCAAAGACGTCACCTTGAAAACTAAGGTATGCCTGC